CGATGATTGTATTGTAATCATATTCGCGTCAAAGCGAACGTCAGTTTCATGTCATTTTTGACAAAGCACCCTCGTGCTGTACCACTACACCGTGTGGAATCAATTTCTGCAAAACATAATCGGTGCAAATTACAATGCGTGGAATATATGCATTTAGGGCGATCGCGCTGATTAATAAAAACACATTTTTTATATATAACTGTAAGGAGTAAGTAATTTTTATCTCAATATACAGCTCAAAAGGAAGGTGAGTAAAAGAAGCTGGTGGATCCACCGAAAAAAAAAAAAAACGCGTCGTCATTAATATTATTGTCTCTTCGAGTGCTTTCTTTATGATCAAAAGGATCGTCTGCTATTTTCTGCCACCGCTGCTGTGTTTTCTTTTCGGCGTAGCCTAAGACGAAGCCAATCCGCGTAGTGTCCAGGTTATTATCCCGGCCGTTCCAAAATCGAGTCGCGGATCGTTTACTCGCGATGTCACGTGGTATTTACCTCTGACGTAGGAGGCAGGTTACTCGGGTAAAATTTGGAACATAGCCCGGGTATACACCTTTCCAAAAAACACTCGACCCCAGGGGCAACAAACCGTATTCGAGCCCAGTCACTGAGTTTGAGGCTAGACTCTCACCGGCGTCCCTCCTAACCCTAACCGAGTGGTCTATGATTTCAATAGGCGCAGCCTGCGTAGGCGCAGTTTCAAACGCTGCTGGCGGCTAAATTCTCGTCTTTTCCCGCTATATTTTGTGTTTCATGGTACATGTATTTTCCCGAGGACAATCAGATAGCATTGTGCCACATTTAAAAAAACAAAAAAGCAAAAAAAAAAAAAAAAAAAAAAAAAACTGTAATTTATTTTTGTTGGGTACGCGCGCGACAGAACGTATAGTTCTATTTATTTGTGTTTTTTTCTTACGAAAAGTTTTGACGGCGCCGCGGGATTCGCCGAATGTGAAACGACAAAGCGCTTTGCTGTCAAAAATAAATTACAACAGAAGAGGGCCGAAAGGCATGCATTTCTCACGTTCACAAATAACGTGTTTACCGATGGACAGGAGCATTCGAACAATATATCGTACGTACCACACGATGCAGCGTTATCCGAAAAGAATTTATTAGAGAAAGATCTCAAATAACACAGACACTGTCGACGACCGTCACATCTTGACGATCGGACGGAATCCGAGATGACTTCGTTTTGGGGCACGAAGTTGGGGAGAGCTTCCTTTTTTCACAACCGCACCAAGGCAAAGAAACGAACGCGACTGACTCGTTTCTCACCCCAACGCGGACAACTCTTTTTGAAGATGACTGAGGATTCTACGCGGATTATCTGTAGAGGGGGGAGGACAATGTTCGCAAAATCGCGTCGAGGATCGTTCGACGTCCTTCACCTGCTTCATTTCCCGCGAATGTCGAGCAGAAAAGCTTGAATGGCAGGCACTTACCAGCCTTATTTCTCACAATGGAAGATAACAAAAACGGTGCGCGGCACGCATAAAAAAAATTAAGTGGAAACTTTCAAGGGGGGCGAGGAAACGTCGAATGCAAAACCGCAAAAACGTAGGTAGAGAACCGCGCTGAGCGGGTCTTCACAGTCCCAGAGGGTGGCAGAAAATTTCTAGCTGATAGAGGGCGCTAGAGTCGCACCAGCCGCATCAGCATCAGCAACATGGCGGCGGCCTAGGAGCGTTTTTGGAAAGGTGTATAGATAGCACACAAAAGCAGACAGCGTCCCAATAGACGTTTTTCTCAATTTCCCACGCACCGAGAAGAATGCTGGAAGTGTAATTCTACGGTCTGCGCGCGCTGGCCTTCCTCTTATAGAAAATTCGAAGTAAATAATCATAAGGCTTTGACGAACGCGCGTGCAAGGCAAAATTTGTTTTAGACTTTTTGCTTTAGGACAATTACTACTGCAGACGCCAGCACGAGCAAGGCGTGTAACTACACTTGTAGCATGCACCTCGGTGCTTGGGAAATTGAGAAAAAGGTCTATTGGGACGCTGTCTGCTTTTGTGTGCTATCAATACACGGCCGATTGAGTCAAGGCAATTCACTTGGCGAGGCGAGGTCATTGCTCATGCTTTGCGATTCAAGTGAGGTAAGGCAAAGCGAAAGCCTCCTGTAGCATTCGTTGCTGACTAAGGCGCCCGATATTGCAGCTAGGATATATTAGTTTTAAAGCGAACGGCGCTCACTCACCGGGGCATCGCCATGTTTCCCCGCACCCCTACGAGTCAGTCACGTGCGACAAGCAACGCACCCAAAATGCGACAAGCAACGCACGAATTTATGCCTGACGTATAGAATGAATTATTCTAGTGTTAATGGCATCCTAAAAAGGCACTACACCATTATATAAAAAAAGCAATCGTCTTAAACGTGCTTTTCCATGCGCTCCTGGTGTAATACATAAATGATCACACAACCTTAGAGATGCACTTGTAACCTCCCGGCTAAATCAATCGCTCACACATAACGAGTGGACGCCCTGCATAAAATCACAGTGTCCAGTCTGTAAACATATGCAACAAACGATCACGGCTAGCAGCACTCATTCGCAGCTTTCGATGAAAATTAAAGGACATTCGACATGTCACCTATCGAATGTCATCTATTTACTTGAGCGTAAGGTACGCAATATGCAATATGTGGGACACACTAAACCAGCCTTTAGAAATCTGTTTTCGCTCCCTTTCGACACTTCGCTGCACTGTGACACTCACGCGTGAAAAGATATTCATGTAGCCTAGTGTCGCCAAATTTGGTAAAGCATGGGCATGTTATGGCTCTACTAGGCGCGCTTTGGCGTTCCTTCAAATAGGTTACTTATTATTTTTTTTTTGGGGGGGGGGGGGGGGTACGTGCAGGGCGGCACCCAGCAAAACCGAAATACTTCCCCCCCCCCCCTCCTTCCCTCTCTAAAACCTCCGGAGCGTCTGCTTTTGTACAAATCACGTCCAAGAGACAATCCCTGCAAGCTACGGTGAATTGCAAGACCAAAATAACGTTTGTCGACATTAAAACACAGTTTTTGCTGTAATACCCCTTAGCAAAAAGAGGCCGTACTTCAAACGAAGTTGAAATATATTTAGTACGAATATTCATTTTGTATTTATTCTGTATTATTTTGGCCGCATTCGAAATATGCGGGTAAGGTATTCAAAATACATTATAAATATGAATAAAAAAATATTTTAAATGTACCAAAAATATTATCCCTTTGCATTAAAAACCGGTTACACAATTTTTTTTTTAATTTTCGATTTTGTCTGCAAATGGTGTCCCTGCGGTATTTGAAGGCACTACTAAATACATCTCACAAAGCTACATTAGAAACGAACACAAACACAAGCACCATGACGCACTGAACAGCTCATTCACAGTCTCGTTGACTGCTCTAGAGCCTTATATAGCCTACATATTGAAGGTAATCATTTTTTCGGTGACCACCTCTGCGCTTATTAAGGTTCCAAGTATTCGATCTTCTCCTCGGGAGTCTGTCAAAGGGGAAACAGTGTTTTGAAGTTCGTGGACGATATCTCTTAGTAAAAGGCATTGGTACAACTAATAACAATTCCGCGCAGCCCTTAAAACAATATCCACACAAACGGCTCATAAAATACATGTTATTGCTTCTCTGCGTAGCACCACTCAGGACGAAGCGAATCAAGGTAGTATCTTCACTTTAAAATACTGTAAACGACTTTATTTTCGTGAGGACCTAATTCTCGCAAAGTTCGCGAATCGCCTACAATTCCGAAAAATAGGTCCCGTGAACAATTCCGGCAAAATGTAAAAACATTAAAATCTTTAATGCGATCCCAGCGCGTCGCGAAAATTAGAATTTGCGAATTATTCCAAAACTCCAACTTTGACCTAAATCGCGAAATATTGAGCCCGCGGAAAAAAAAATATTTTACAGTAGTTGTTTTGCCTTTCCATTTTAGTAGTTGACTAATTAATATGGTAGTTAATATCACTATATTAAAGTCACTATTCGCATCACGTACAATGGTGAGTATGCACGTTCAGTGAACTAACATTGTGCTAACAAAACCACGCAAAACGTATCTGTTCACAGCACCTGCTGAAGCTTTCCAGCATCAGCAAATGTTGTGGTTGTAGTTCCCGAGCCCCGTTTGTGATTGGTGTGCAAGGAACTGATCAGGTGTGTTCTTGATAGAAAAAAGGAAACAATAACATAAACTGGGCTGATTTATCAGTGCGATGCTCCGCAATTCAGTTGACAAACTAATCAAATGTTGTATTTAGGCGCTTCAGTGTACTCCATATCTGCTTGAAGTGAACTTCTGAAAGGGGAGCTTTTCAATATTTTGGTAGTTTAAGTCAAACTACCAAAGTATTGCAGTCAAAAGGTACTTAGAGTATAACACAACAATATTTACGATTTTCAGGTATTTTAAGAGTATTCTTCACGTATTTTTGATTGCTCCATTTTTTTAGGGTTGGAGTATATTTGGCATGAATTAAATAAATATTTCAAGAAATATATGTGAAAGGTATTTTGTGCCTATTAATTTAGTATTTACATATTTCTAAACGCATGAAGGTAACTTCAAATGTAGTTTAAGTAAAGGTATTTTAAAATGATTTTTAGAAGTATATTTTAGTACTAAGTAAAAAAAAAGAAGTTTATATTTTCGGTCTATTTTTCGTGTACTTAAAATTATGAACTATATTTCAAATACACTGAAATTATAATGTGGTATATTTCAAACGTATTAGTTTTCGCTAAGGGACTGCGCATAGATGAACGTCATGCTCGGTGTCACGGCGCAGTTTATTTTTTGAATACGTCTACATGCTAGTAGAGCCTTGTTAAAATAGATGCTTAAAATTTCTTAGAGTGATACGTCCACAACATGTACCTCGTTTCGAGTGTAACTAACAAGGCAGTGAAGTTAAGAAGAGCCGCGTGAACGCTCGCTGACGTTACTTGGGGGCATAAGTGCATTCAAGTGTACGAGAAAACTCACCGTGTATAGTCTCAGGAAGGACTTTAACAAAGCAGCGGCGGTGACCGATATTCGAATGAAACGACCTCTCTACTGGCCTTCCTGCCTCGACCGCACACACAACGTCGCGACGCTCTTCAGTGTTTATACCCTGCTTTAAACGGAAGTAGCGACAAGCGAATAACGAAGCCCGAGCTGTTCAAACAAAACAGGTTTTATCGCTGCAAGTGTGCTTTCGCGCGTGCTAAAATTGCGCGCCCGTGCAAAAAGCGAATCACGTCTCTCTGTCCGAGGGAAGCGAGGGCGTCGCGGGCGATTAATTTTCCCCTGCTTATCTGCTAAGCGGCATTGCAGCAACGAGCAACGCCGGTATCCGCAACTCCAGAGCAGGCGACGCCTCCCCGCGCCACAGACCGGACTTTTAAAAGCTGGTACACGTACTTGGCGTTTGAGCGTGCTCAAGTGGGTAGCGTTTCCTTCCAAACACTTAACGGTGAACTAAAGAGGGTTTTGAGGAAGATTGCTTTTGTAGGTATACTGCTCAGACTGTGTCGGTTAATAAATACACTTAGTTCTGGTTAACAAAGCTGCCTATTAAACATGTGGCATTAGAAATAGGCGAGGACTCTTTTTCGCTTAAAGCCCTGGCTTTCCCTCTTTGAGAAAATTGGAGTAATGAGAAAACTTAATTTTATACATTCATATTAAAAATAGCGCAAAAGAGACGGGACAAAAAGACGAAGAAGCACACAGGACAAACGCTAACTGGCAACTAAACTTTATTGAAAGCTTCCAACTTTGCTATCGCCATACACACGCTTAGACTCGTTCAACAGAGACAGGGCGTAGCGCCAAATCCGCACAATCATACCGCCCACCGCCTGTTCCAAAAAGTCAGCAAAACAGCTACATCACCCCGCCGCACAATCCGAACGAGAAGAGAATAGAAAAAACGCCGCGTTAATATTGTCAAGTTAGATAGTGTTAATGAAATGGTACTCTTTCTGCTGCATATACACCGATGCGACGCTTATGCAAACGTCTTTGTCACAATCACGTATTTTCGCTGCCTCCAGCAACTCACGTTCCCTCCTTCCTTTGTTTCGTCCCTCCACCTTCGCACCGTCCAGCTTGGGGGAACAACCACAAGTTCTACAATGCCCCGGTAAGTGGGAACCGTAATTGTTGCCAAGAGAAGCCGCATGCTCTCGAAGTTGATCATTTAAGCAACGTCCCGTCTGCCCTATGTAAACACGGCCACACGTTAGAGGAATCCTGTAAACCACCTCAGTGGCACAAGGTACAAACTTTGTCACGTGTTTCTTGCTACAAACAGGTTTCTTCACTTTCGGCCCGCTCACCATAGCGCACAATTTTGACAATCTGCACGGGGCAGTGAAGACAACGTCCACGTCGAACTTTGATGCTATCCTTTTCAGATTGTGCGACACTTTATGAATATAAGGTAGCACTACAAAATTCTTTGGTTTCCTCTTAGGTACAACGGAAGAGCATTTCAACTTCTTTAGAAGGGATTCCGCAACTCCCTGTATTAAAACCGAGGGAAACCCGGAGTGTTCCAAGCGAAGTGTCTGGAGGTCAAAACTTTCACTAACTACATGCGGACAGGACTTCAACAGAGCCGACCGGAGGCAGAGCGATGCGATGCCCCTCTTTATCAATTTAGAGTGGGCTGAGTCAAAGGCTAAAAGGGCCTTTTTTGTGCGTGGCCTGTACATCCAGCACACATGGTCAAGGGAGTTAAAAGACAACCGGACATCTAAAAACTGTAAAAAAACCTCCAACGGAAGTTCGTAGGTGAAATGTAAATGCTTAGAAGATTTGCTAAAAACTTCCAGAGTAGTCTCGACTAAAGAGACCAGGCTTTGCTCTGCAGGAACAGTAACAAAAATAATAAAATCGTCGACGTACCTACAAACCTTCACAACGGGGATGTCAACCAACTCATGCAAAACCGAGCGGTCAAACTTGGCAAGAAAAATCTCACATAGTACAGGCGCCACACTAGACCCGATACAAATGCCACGCCTCTGCACATACACCTTGTCCTCAAAGCAAACAAGCGTTGAGTTTAGGTAGCAGTCCAACACTTCCAGGAAGGCATCAACCGTAACCCCACACGCGTTTTGAAACGCAAGAACGCCCGATGTCTCAATCAGTTCCCGAACAGCAACTAGAAGTTCGTCGTGTGGAACCGAATAAAACAATTCCTCAACGTCCAAGGAGAAAGCGTTGTTGACTCCAGATAGGCCCTCCCGTAGTACGTCGATGAGGTGGTCCGAACTGTTCACCTTGTAAGGGTCTTCTGGGATGAGGTTACTCAGGTGCAGCTGCAGAAACCTGCTCACCTGGGCCTGCCAGCTGTCTCTCTCTGTGACGATGGCCCCGTGCAGATTGTCAAAATTGTGCGCTATGGTGAGCGGGCCGAAAGTGAAGAAACCTGTTTGTAGCAAGAAACACGTGACAAAGTTTGTACCTTGTGCCACTGAGGTGGTTTACAGGATTCCTCTAACGTGTGGCCGTGTTTACATAGGGCAGACGGGACGTTGCTTAAATGATCGACTTCGAGAGCATGCGGCTTCTCTTGGCAACAATTACGGTTCCCACTTACCGGGGCATTGTAGAACTTGTGGTTGTTCCCCCAAGCTGGACGGTGCGAAGGTGGAGGGACGAAACAAAGGAAGGAGGGAACGTGAGTTGCTGGAGGCAGCGAAAATACGTGATTATGACAAAGACGTTTGCATAAGCGTCGCATCGGTGTATATGCAGCAGAAAGAGTACCATTTCATTAACACTATCTAACTTGACAATATTAACGCGGCGTTTTTTCTATTCTCTTCTCGTTCGGATTGTGCGGCGGGGTGATGTAGCTGTTTTGCTGACTTTTTGGAACAGGCGGTGGGCGGTATGATTGTGCGGATTTGGCGCTACGCCCTGTCTCTGTTGGACGAGTCTAAGCGCGTGCATGGCGATAGCAAAGTTGGAAGCTTTCAATAAAGTTTAGTTGCCAGTTAGCGTTTGTCCTGTGTGCTTCTTCGTCTTTTTGTCCCGTCTCGTTTGCGCTATTTTTAATATGAATGTCCATTACCAACTCGCCCAGCAGACCAAGCTTTTACAATTAATTTTATACAGATGGCGAGCGTTGTTTTTATAGAACATTTCGGATATGATGTGATTTATATATTGACAATCACGTGAATTTCTTTTGATCTAGGAAATGCAACAATGCCATTATCGTTTCCAAAAAACAGCGAACTCTGTTTTCTCCTCGCTTGCCTCCGCGGAGTGACGTGTTGCCTTGTCTCCCGTCTTCTCCTTCGTTGGGAGCGCGTTGCCTTTCCCACAGTTAACCAAGATCAACCGATTGACCCGATCATATAGTTCTCCTTTGTCTGTATCTTGTTCTGTGCGATTGCAATCCGCTTACATCCACTTGTTGATCCAGTTTTTTGTGACTTTTGCAGAACGCAGTTGCATTTTGTAGGATTGTTTCTTCGTTAATCAAGGTTTTTTTATAGAACGACAAATGTTTGTTATGTGAAGACGTGCGCTAACCGAAAAAAACGAAAGACGTTTACAAATCTCTCTAATGCAAAATAAGAGCGCAGCTCTTCAGAGGAGGAGGAGGAGGAGGAGGAGGGTACGGGGTGGAGGGTATGCTCCTCCTCCTCTACCTCCATACCCTCTCCTTTCCCCCTTTCCTGTCCTTCTCATCCTCCCCCTCCTACATTCCCTCCTCTCGCCTCCTCCACCAATTCACTTTGCCCGCTAGATTTATCGGGGAAAATGACGTCACATGACTTGGTGTAACGCCACCTATGAACCAGTTCAGTTTATTCGCTAGATCTAGCGGGAAAATCGGCGTCAGGTGACCTCAACACCACTTCAATTCGCCGCTAAATTTAGCGGGGAATTCAATTGGTGTTGAGGTCACTTGACGTCAATTTTACCCCTAAATCTAGCGGAAAAACTGAATTTGTCCGCTAAATCTAGCGGAGACACTGAACTAGCTCCCCGGTAAATATAGGGGGGAATTCTTGCAGTGAACCGTGGCTCGTTCATGATGGAACGCTAGTATTCCGCTTTCATGGTGGCGTCTTGGAAGCGTTGCAGAAGTTATTAGACGGGGGAGGAACAGCAGTCGGACGAAGGCGAAAACGGACGCCGACGAGGAGCTTTCATGCTCGCGCCCTATGGACATTGCAGACGATGATAGGAGGTGGTGGAATAGCAGACGATGCCCGAGGCCACCGCGCGTCTGCTCGCACAACTAGCAGGCGGTGTCAGAAGCAAGATTATGGTGCCTAGAGCGCGTCTCTGGCTGGTGTGTTTAGCATCCTATGCTGCCGATACATCAAAAATTGTCCTGAACTGTAAAAAAATACGTCACAAAAGCCATAGTGTCATGGTGTCGGATGTTGCGATCCGGGCGATTGGTCGTAAAAATGATGGCGAAATGCACAAGTGAACGCGAGTGTCGCTGTCGTCACGGCGTCCCAACTTCTGGCTGGCAAAGCTTTTGTGGTCGTTTCGCCTCATTCTTGTTTGGACCTTCTCGTTTGAAGCTTCTCAAAACACCCAAACTGACTTTTTTAGCATTTGGGCTTAATCGCATCCAGTCCTGTTCGCACTAGAACCCAGTGACGCGTGGTACATTTTCAGCACTAAATTTGCTCCGACGGCTTGTAGCGTGCGCTTTAGTCCACTTTACGGAAAATGGAGTTCAGTGTGTGTTTTAGGGGAGGGGGGGGGGGGGGACAACTTTCTCTAGAACCTCCCGCAACCCCGGAAAAGGGAAAACTACGGAGACGTGCTTTGATCAAAAAAAGCCGCTTGGTGTTTTATTGCCCGGCGCTTGCTGCCATTTTCGGACAACCCAACGAATGAGGGTCCTGACCTTCGATGCATCTTTAAATGGCAGAGGGCACGTATTCCACGAAATATCAGCCAAACCGCTGGACTAATTAGCACGTGTGCGTCTGTATGCAAGAGCTTGCGTATATAGGCTGGAGATGTAAAATTTAATGAAATTTTGAAAAACACGAAAAAACAGGGTTTTTTTCATGTTTTATTCAGAAAAATACGAAAAACTGCGAAAAAGACGATAGCACACAGAGCTAAGAAAAACTCGACACATTTATTTTGTTAACAT